GTTTGTCCACGTTTGTCCACCCTATTATTATTATATTTTTCATAATAAAGAAAAATAATCACTTGGGAGTACTACAATTTTTTTTGTGTATAACTTTTTTTTGGAGGGTGGACAAATGAAAATAACGGGTGGACAAACGTGGACAAACAGTGGACAAACGAATGCAATAATGATTTTATCAAAATTCATATTTAGGGATGTTGACTTCTCATTGTTAGTACTGCTGCAGCATTATGATTCGGTAACCATTTTTGGTATAATATTGTTACTGCATTAGGTACAATATGTGTACTGATTTTCGGTATTATTGTGGTACTGTAATCTCGTACTGTAATACCGTACTATAATGGTACCGACGTTTAGAAACATTACGACACCGTAATCCCGTACCATAAGAGTACTGTATTTCGAGTCTTGGCCCGGTGCTATCATCCCAGTATTACATCAGTACAATACCAATACTGGCATCCGATATCACGCCGGTACTAAATACTAAAAGTTGATACTGGGTCAGTATCTCGCCGGTATTCAATTCCCACTTGGGTTATTAAATTTTTTTATGCACAATCATTATAATATTAAAGTCTTCAATAAATATATTTATAAGTTTTTTGAATAAAGTTTTAGAGAGAAAAATATAACTAAAGAACTGTTTAATGAAGATACTTTTACTTGCACTACTTTGTTATAAAAAGAAATAGTAATTAGTAATTTTTACAGATTTTTTATTTGCTGAGAATAAATCCATAATTAAAATTGCTTTCACATCACGTTTTTGAGAAAGTTGTACTGAAAAGTGTTGAAATTTTAGGTATTTTTTAAGTATTTTTGAATTAAATAAGTAACTTTTTGGAGGACCGTTTATGCAAATTGTAAAATAATTAATGCAACCTTTTAATTTAAAAGAAGAATGATTTTATTCGATATTTTTAATAAAACGAAACACTATAAATATATTTCCTCAATTAAAATTCTTTTCCGTTATTTTACGTATAGTTTTATTTGGTTCTTCTATATATATATATATATATATGTGTGTGTGTGTGTGTGTGTGTGTTTCTGCGTTTTTTTTTGTTATTTTTATACGATAGATACTTACGTATTCCAATATCATGGTCATGGGATCGGTGATGTAAATCACATATGTTAAGGAGCTGCATCCAATGCCTATCATAAACAAGATGATGCATTCTGTAAAAAAGACTTTCTTGAAAACTGATCACGCCTTATTTTTGTACATTTTATTTCTTTTTTTATACGTCTCGAATGCATATTAAGGTACGATAACATATATTTTAACATAATTGATAAATTAACTGGTATATATATATGTATATTACATATATCTATATTTTTTTATGTTTACATATAATAAATTCGTCTACTTTATACATTTATAAACTTATGTTTTCCAAAACACGAATAGAAATTCATTTTATTATCTTATTTATTCAAAATCATTTTATGCGTAACTTTTTTTTAAGGAAGGTTGGACAATCTGTATATTAATTCTTTTAGTCTGTTGGTCTCTATTTGATCCTTAAAATGTAACTTATTTTTTTTTATTAATATTCATAATATGAGAGAAAATTTTTTTCTTTAGTATTTGATTTGAACTTTATTTGTCAATATAAAATTTCTTTTCTGTAAATTTTTTTTTTATTTTTTAAAGTATTTTAATCAGATTTTAACCCAATTTAACCGTATATTAAATATAAATAGACCAGCAAAGTTAAACATTAGTTAAATTGTGATGTATCTTTGATTTATAACTGTTTACTCATGTCTATTATATATACGTTATAAATTATCTACAATCGCATTTCCTTCTTCAAAAAATCGGTAAATAAAGGAAGATTTCGATTAAAAGCATCTTATCATATGTATCTATAATACTACATTAATTCATTACAGCGAAATAACATGCCTCTCTCTCTTTCTCTCTCTTAAATATTACAAATTACTGAAAATTAATAATAGTTAAAAAATATTAAATATCTCTGATAAATCTTTATTTACCACTTCACGCTTCCAATACGTGTCAAAAAGTAATGTCTTACAGTGCATATTTATCTACCATTCACCTTCGACTTTACCCAATCTCGCGTGAAAGAAGGCGGATTATTTTAACGGAATTCGGCTCAATATCATCATTTACGTTTATGCATATTCGTATGCGAATCATTGACTACACACAACAATTCCTTCGAGACTTTTATTTTTAAGAATGATTTGTCAGTAAGAGTTCAGTATTCTAGACGTTTAAGAAATCTTTCTGAGGAATTCGTAAAACTATTTGCTCGTAAAAAAGAGACAGCAAAAATCTATTTAAAAGACTAAGTAATTAATTATTTATAATATATTATATCATGTTAATATTCTGCTATTTTTAAAATAAAATTATATATTTTTCTGTTCCTGTTGACTTTTTTATTATTTTTACTGGCTTATTATTGTTACTCTTTGCTCTTATTCTATGTATATACTTTGTTTTATACTTATAGAACCTTGTAACTTTATTATTTTTATTATTTTTATTTATTTTCATTCTTATGCATTATTTTAAATTTTTTAATCTTCGTGTTTTATGAATTTTATAATTTTTATAAATTTTAAAATAATTTATTTAAATGACTAGTTATTCTAGTTATTGCTAGAAACATTATTATACATGTATATATAATTTACTTTACGTAGTTACCAATTGCAGCATATGTAAATAACTGTAGTTATTGTTATTGTTATTTAGACAAACTAAAATAAAATCGTTTAGATTTTTACTGATATACTTATGAATGAGATGTGTTCAATACTGTATCAAATAAAATTCCGCTCAAATAATTTGTTTTCTTTCACACGAAATTGGGCGAAGTTGAAAGTGAATAATTAGCATTACAAATTCAATTAAATTTGTTATATATGCTTAATAGTTAGTTACGTGTCAGGATCTACCTCTAAAAGTAAACTACTCGGGATTTTTTTAAATAATCATGAAATTATTTTAGTGAATGTATTATTGTATTGTATAATATATTGAAGGTAAAAGAATAAGTATTAGGTATATCTTGCACTCAAAATATTGGAAGTAATCGTTTATTTCTTTTTGTCATTTTAGCTGAAATTATAAAATATACAAAATTTTTATAGATATGAAATTTTAAGATTTTTTCCGTTTAGATGAAACTTTTAAATAAAAATGTTAATTTTAATGAAAAAAGTTTAGTAATACACGAGAAACAACTTCTTAGCTTTAAATAAGTAAACGAGAAATTGTATATTTTTTCTAAAAATCTAAAAAAATTCTTAAAAATACTCTAATATATGTATTATAGAATATATCATAATATGGAGAATAGAATATTTAGGATTTCAATAGACTCGATGAAGTGTATATAAGTATGGCGCATCGCAAATATCCTCTTACTCTTATCTTTCCGAGAATCAGTGTATAAAAGTATATGTTTAATTTACCAAATCAACAAAATACATTTCTTGAACTTTGAAATGCTATCAATGGCAAACTGTGCTTTCCAGTATTCTATATATTTTCAGCATTAATTATTGCTTCGATAAATAAAACAGATAATTTGTGGAATTTCCTAAAACTTTAAATAAAAATTCAAAATTTTCAAGAAAAAGTGAAGTAAATTCAAGAAAAAGAAAGAATTTATACTACCTATTTATAACATATAAATTTTTATAAGACTGTTTCAACAGCGAACTTTCAAATCGATAAATTAGTATAGGAAAAGTTATTTTGTTTTTCAAACGATCGTTAAGTATGTTCTGCACATACGTCATAAAGAAAATGCCAATTATAATAATGCCGCTTCAAGTAGACGACATAAGAAAATTTATTCGATTGACCGGGAGAAATAAATTAGATCACTATTGAAAGCCACCTTGGAATAAATCTTAAAACTTTGCTGAGGAAAAAATTACTAGCCATTCTTGCATATACATTTGTCGCTGACCTGATAAAATTTCTTACACACATAATTATAAACTCGATTTTCTTGGAAATTTAGAAATCATAGCGATGAAATGGCAGCTGCATTTAATAGAACATGAATATATAATGCATTTAATCTGCACTGAACAAATTTTTCCTCTGAACAAATGTCTCGAAAGATCATAGCTTACCTTGACTTACATCGTACGTTATCTACAGTAAAATAAAAAGAAAGATTATTAATCGAGGTCGATCATTCAAGTTCTCATTTGAAATTTTCAATTTCACCAAGCAATGATGTCATCGCGGATATTCAACTGACACATCAAAGTAAATTAATGCAGGAAAACAAATACTATATTTATGCAAACAATATGAAAAATATTTATAAGAATGTCAAATTTATATATAATTAATTTTTAATTAGTTTTTTATTTGCATTATTTATTTCTATAGAACAGTATGACGTTTATTATTATGTTTAAATACAATAATTGCCAAATTACAGAATTTACATTTAATTTCCATGTTATTTGAATGCATACGTTAATCGTAATGTCACACGATAAATTTCTGCTTCTTTACTACGCACATTGTGTCATTCGTGTCACAACTTAATTTTTATCACTTTAACAAATATACAACAATTATTAGGCAATTCTTACTTTTTAACATTTTTAGAAAAAACTCGTAAGATTATATATTTAAAAAGTTGTATATAAATGTTACAGCTAATTACTTGAGGCTTTTAATTTTTCAAAGAAAAAAATGCACAAGATACAAATAACCCAAGTGTGTAAAACCTAAGGGTAAAAATCTATACAAATTATGCAGCATACAAATATATTTATATAAAGATATATATTAAATATTCTTAATTTCTCTTTATAATCAAATAACAACAGTTATCACCGTTAAATAACTAGGGTTATGCGTCTTCTTGCAAATTAAAGAATTACTCACTTTTAAATTGCTGTAGAGCAATTGCGGATTTCATGGCTGTGACCCGATTCTTTTCGTTGTAAGTTCTTCTCTTTGTCACCTTGACTGTAGAATCCTGAAAGGAATACAGAACCATCCGATTATTAAACGAATCGAGAATATAATTACGAGTAATGAATCAAGGTCAACGATATCAATTACATGTGCACAAGGTAGCTGTCAGATTGATTGAATATGTTCATTTACGACATATCGTCATATTTGTCTATATTCTTGGCTTCTTAAGGTCAGTATCTACTTTAAAGAGTAATCTTGAGAGAAAACCGAGAAGTAATAATTATTTACAAATTACTCTTTCGCATAGGGTAAGACCGCCCAAAAGTGTATACTTTTTCTTTGAGATTATATAAGGATTTGAGTTTGGACAATAATAAAATGGTGCTTAGATTATTCTTTACACTTTAAACTAAAAGTTTATCAAGTATCCAATGTAATACTATGACTCGTTTTTACAGGAAATTAATTTTACTAAGAAAAGAAAAATGCGAACTCTTGAGCAAGTCTTCTCAAGAGTTCGCATTAGTTTGCGATTTTCACTTTTTACTTTTAATACAACTACATAAAAATTATTACAGATATTAAGTGAATATATCATTAAATACGAAGCAGAACATGCATGCACACAATATAAATAGTACGAATTCACTAAGCAACGATTTAATGTAGAAATCGATCTATTTATCCTTGAAAAATATTTAAAAAATGATAAAAATCACAAAGTTTAAAATATCTCCTTTATCACTGCAACGATCATAACGATTTTTTATAGGTACACAGATCAACAAACCAAAAAGGTATATTCTGTGAAATGTTCTTATGATTAAATAGTTTCGTCGTAAAGCTCAGTGCGAACTCTTAAGTGATGCACACTTTTAGGAGGTCTTACCCTACTAATTTGTTTAACATTGTATTGCATTTAATTAATATTTATTATATAATAGTATTATTTCTTGATAACGTTTTTGAGGCTTTTATGGATATTTTTTTTAAATACCAGAAAGTTTGCGAGTTATCGTCGTGTCTTTTTCCATTCCTAATACTAACGCTAATTGCGCTTCTCACCCTGGCGAAGTGAACAACAAAGTTCACAAAACATTAGCATTAACAATGGATAAAGACACGGCAGTACCCTGTAAAACTTCTGGTATCTTTAGTGGTATTAGTTATCAGTATTAATATTTAGAAAGATTAAAAATTAATATTAGAAAAAATACTAATTTAGAAAAAAATTAGTAATATGATTTTCTTCTTTTACTTATAATATTATACGTGGTTCTTTTATTATTTAATAATGATTCGTTTTAGTTATAAAATTAAACTGATTATACTAAACCGATTTCTCAATCAAGTTTTGAATGATACAATTTGATCCTTCTTTATCGCAATCGCATAAAATAGACATGTAACCGTTAATACCGTTTGTTTGCGGTGCAAGTAAATTTAATGTTATTCACTACAAGTTTACCGATGCCATTAACACCTTACTTCTATTTGCATGACGGCCACAGTTATTTCCTTCCCAGTAAAGTCCATGGACACTTTCCTCCTGCTATTCTCCCTGTCTGTCTATTGACTCATGAGATAAAGATGTTAGATTACCGCGTATTACAGAAGGAATCACGAAGATATAAAAAGACGATATTACTGGATATCTTGATCACTCAAACTCACATCTGCGCTTTCCTGTTTTTTATTAGAAGCATAAACTATAATTTATAATTATCGCTTATGAAATTAGGAGATATATTGCTGTTTATTTCTAACTTAAAATAAAACCGAAATAATATGGCAAATTAATTTTTTGCCTTAAAACAATAAGAATTAACAATAATAAATCTAAATCATGTGTTTCTTTATAATAAATTTTCGAGAAATATTGTAGCTGTAAAACAAATACAACACAATTTATTTAGTCGGATTGCTATCACAAAGTATTTGTGTCACATACGTAATTGATGTTAAATTTTTTTCTTTGGACAGTCATTCATTATATATTATAAAATTTATCATAAGTATTTATCATGTGTACTTAGTGTTTCGAAAACAACATATACGGTGCTATTAATTAACGTTTATTAATTCGTATTATACATACATATACATATATATACAATACTTTCAGATAACATAACCTGATTCACGCTAAAGTTTGCTACAATTAGTAATTAAGTATCTTATACTCTCATGCATTTTATCAATTGAAGGTTACTTCGTTATGTATCAACAATCTTATATCAACTCAATAAACTCTTTTTTTCTCAATCTTTTCCATATTCTTTATATACAGATAAAAGCTTATTTTTAGCTTAAATGTATATAATTTTTAAAGCTTGATGTATTGATTATTTTTCTATTTTTCTTCTACAATTGATTACTATAATTAATAATACTAATTACTGATTATGCAATTTTAATTATTAATTGTGCATTACTGACTGTTAAGAGCAAAGGTCATAAGTCGAATGGAGATAATCCAATCACTCAATATTACATGACTTTTTAATGTAATTTTATATTTTTAGGTAAGCAAACAGACGAGGGGTAACCACTATCTGAAATATTGTCCTACAGTTTATATGATTTTATTTAATTTTATATAATTTTATTTGATGATATAAATCATTTTCTTTACTGTATGCCGTCATTTGATAAAATAAAAGATTTTATCTAATATTACACAATTATTTCTTGTACTTGCATATGTAATTATCGGATTGATTGATGATCCTTTATCTCCTCATGTGGAGCATAGGACGTCTACAGATCTCCTCCATTTTTGTCCGAGGCTTATATTTGTTTCTCAAATCAAGTTGTTTTCGGATTTGCGGGTGATTGAGCCACAGAATCCTACCTCAGTCAGATATTAGAGACATGTATCTAATGACATACAGGACCTACACAATTTAACGCCAATCCGAAGGGCACTGATGATCATAGATCTTTTGATCATTAGGTGGAGTCATTTTTAGCTCCTTAAACGCGAAAAATCTTGTTTGGGCTCAGGTAGGATTGAATTCGGGTCTGCAGATCGCGAGTCAATCGCATCAAGCGGTGAGCTACTCGACGCCTTAATTATCGAATTATATATCGGAATTTCATATAAATTTTATAATAATTTCAGGTCTCTGTCCCACGATTACATTAAGTGATTACCCCCTCGCAAACAGATCATAAATGACAAATTTGTAATTATTCGTATATAGAATTAAACGTTCCAGATTATTCTGTACTATCTCGATCGCACTTTGAATAATTTGCTATCACGCAAATTCTAGCTTTTCTCTAACGCAGTTATTTCATATCGATTATTTAATCACGTTTTACTGTTTAAATGCATTTTCACAAATTCAGTTATAAGTAAATTTTTATAAAAAAAATATTAACGCTTTTAATTAATAAATCACACACAAGAATAATTTATTTGAATTTATTTCGAACGGATTTTCAGTTCAAAATTATTAAGTACTGTATCAATGCCATGTAAAATTAATATTCTTTATAGACTTGAAAAAAACATATTATTTCTTACTTTTGATCATTACTGTTTTATCTTGTAATAATCGAGTAAATTAAGGGCTGATTGTTCCATCTTTTGGTAAAATTTACTTGTTAGGTAAGTAGCAAGATTACCCAATCACGTGTGCGCGGATTGCCAGATTTACGTAACAGGTAAACTTTACCGAAAAATGGGACAATCGGTCTTAAATCGGGTAAATTAAAGTATTTTGAAATTTAGTAATAAATAACAGTGTGAATAATTACATTTTTAATGGTGAATTTAATAACTCTTTATCGAAATATAAAATAAATATCTCTCATAACTCTTTTATAAGTTAAGTTCAATGTCACAATTAACATACACTTATACACAAATTATATGTTAAAAATTTCGTAATTATGATGACCTCCATACTAAAACAGAGATATGAAAAATCATGTGATATGAATATCTACAAATTATATAATTTGAAAGGTTAAAACCTAATTGTAAGTATAATTTAACAGAAATTGACAATCACTTTTTTATTGAGATTAATTAATATATTTACTTTAAAAAAAATTAAAATTAATTTATTATGAAGTAATCTAATTTAATTTAAAGTAATTTAAAGCTAAAAAATAGAAAATAATTGTCACAATTAACGTATCACAATTTATCGATAATCTATGATAACCCTTCTTTGATAATTAAATTTAGAGTTTCTTAACTTTTTAACACAATTTATATACTATCGCTAGTATTTTTTCTTTATAATAATATAGAAAGAGAGAGAGAGAAAATCTTGTATATTTTCTTATAAATATTATATATTATAATAACGAATTTAGCAATGTGTGAATTAATAAGAATATGAATAAAAAATCAAGCAAAGCTTACACAATGTAGAATTTGTGAAATAATCACTTATTTATATTTACAGATCTACCCAAATTTATGCTAATAAAATCTATACTAGAAGTTATTTAAAGCTATAATTAAATAGAATTTGCCATGTATTTGCTGTTATGATAATAGTAAAATATTCAATAATATCAAAATATAATATAAAATAAAAATAATGAAAGATAATATTAATTGACTCGTATGATTTAAAAATCTCAGAAAGTGTAATGCCTATTCGAGTCATATAAATAGGATGTTAGTGTTTATTATAATTGTGTGAATTTATATACCGCGTATGTAGTCCCCCCCGCGACGCTGATGGATTTTCAGCATTAACGCATACATATTCACTACCGCAGTAATATCACTTGAGTTAAATTGACAATCAATCTAACAAATTTTAATGCCTATAGCATCTTATTAGATCTTAATAATATGTTAAAATTGTAAGGCATTACAATGCCTTACTGATGAGTCCAGTAGCGGAAACCAGGACGAAACGCCAACTTGTGATATTCTTCGCAATCTTATTATTTTTCACAGATTTAAAATTATCGTCATTTCAATATTAAATTTTAATATATGTCTTTCAATATATTATTAAGATCTAATAAGATGCTATAGGCATCAAAATTTGA